ATGCTGAGTAATGAGTGACTGCGGGGTGCAGAGGCAGGGCTCCAGCAGCTTCCTTGCAAGCACCAGCCGTATGAGCCAGCCCTGCTGAGCCCCTTCCCAAAACTCATTTAATCCCCCCACTCTGGGCAGAAGTGTGGGCCATGCCTACTGGCCAAGTGAGTGGACACACACAGCCCCTGGAGTCAAACATTGACACCTCCTGGCCTCACCTGAGGCTGTGATCTGGGGTTTGGGCTGGACACCACCTCTTTCCCAGAGACTGGCTGTGGTCCAGCAGCAACGACCCGCTGTGAAACGCCCATTGTCTGCTAAGGCCAAGGGGGAGGGGACTGCCGCAGCCTGAGACTGGACACCAGGAGGCAGTGAGCTTGGGAGGGGGCTGCTCTGCCCGGTCCTGTTCCCTTCTCCCATCAAGGCAGGTAGACACCTGCGACTCCCGGCCGCGGGGCCGCCAGCGCTCCACGGCTCCAAGCCCCGGTAGTGGAGGTGGCCGGGGCTGGGCGAGGCCCCAGTATTAGAGGTGTGTGTGTGCGCATGTGCGGTGCGTGTGGGCGGGGCTGCCCTGCCCCCATCCCATGCTTTCGGAAGGAGCTAGGCCCCAGGCCCTCCGGAGTGAGCCAGGGGTCATCTGCATGAGAAAGGGGCCAGCAGGTTGCCAGTGGGCTGGACTCCCCACGCCATCCCCCACCTCCCCAGGGCAGGAGAAGCACCTGGAGGTGCTCGGCCAGAGCCTGCGTGGGTGCGCACACCCGTGTTATCTATGTTGAGTGAGGAACAAACTGTTGAATGAAGGTGCGTGTATGAGACACCCAGCGTGTATGCACACCGTTGTGTGTGTGTGTGTGACATCTGGCACACCGGATGTGTGTATACGTGTGTGCAGTTGCATGTGCCGTGTGTGAGCCCAGAGCAGCGGAGCTCATTCCTGGCTTAGAGTACCCTCTGTTCCTTCCCAGGGCCCAGCCTGCCTGGGCTGGTGAGGGCTGAGGATTTGGGTCTGAGGATCCCAAAATAGCTCCAGCAGCCTGAGTTCCCCTCCCCCGCGGCTGGGTCTGGGGCCTCAATGGCCCTTTGTCTCTGAAGGCGGCCAGCCCCTGTGGGGGGCTTAGACTCAGACTGGGACTGGGAGGGACCTGCAGCCTGTCGGTTCCCTTTCCCTCGCTGGGCAGGGAGGCCCTAAGCCCCACCTCAGTGTGGGGTGGGTGGGCCGAGGCCCCCACCATGAGAGTTTATGTAAGCTGGCCCATTCGTGGGCATATCCCAGGGCATCTTCGTGGGGAAGGCCTCCCCTGCCAGTCCCCACCCCAGGCTCACCCCCTGCACCCTGGTTCCTTCACCCCCTCTTCCTGTGGAGCTCCCTCACGATGTTCCTCCGTTTCGGTGGCAGCAGCAGACGGGGACCCTGTGCACTTGTACACACTGGGCCCCGCCTGGGGTTTGACCCCTGGCACTGTCCCAGGGGCCCTCCCTGAACCAAGGGATGCAGATGGCAGTCTTGGAGGCTACAGGGAGCAGTAAATGGGGAAGTGTGTGAACCGCCTGGGCCCTGGGCCAAGCCACGCCCTGAGATAAGGCAGACCCTGCCCACCCCCCAGCTCCCAGTCCAGGGCAGTGCCTGGGGAGCCACAGGCACTCTCAGTGCGGTGTGGGCAGTGCCAAGGTCCAGTGAGGCGAGGGCTGGGGAGGCTCTGAGGAGAGGTCGAGGCGCCAGGGGCTCCAGGTGGCCTGATGGGTTGCTTCTCTGGGTCCCTCGCTGCAGGGGGTGGGGAACCACTGTTTATTGGCTTTTCATGCAGGGCTCCATTAGACTCTCAGGTTCTAGGGCTCAAAGAGGATCGAAGACCTGTGCTGGGGTGATGGGGAACCCTGATGGAAGGACTGACTCCATGTGGGATGTGCCTGAGTGCCTGAGAAAGGGACAGAAAGGAGTGGAGAGGTGAACCTGGCAGCATGGGCGCTGGCTGACAGGTGGCTGCCCAGGGGGGAGTGACTCGGGCGGGACTCCAGGGCCCTGTTTGTGAGGCAGCTGGACACCTGGTGGGGTGGAGCAGCCTTGAGAGGGTTCAGCGGAGGCCCAGAGATGACCGTTGATGCCTTGGGGTGGTGCCCAGGGCTGTTGCAGATGCCCAGAGAGGACACAGGAGGACACAGGAGGCAGGGGAGACTCCAGGGAGGTAGTTGTAGTCAGTGCTTTCCCAAGGCAGACGGAGACGAGACGAGGCATGAGTGACCAGGGGTGGCACTGGTGACCATGGCAACAGCAGTTTGGCTGAAAGGGGACCTGCTGACAGCAAACACTGATCTCCCGAGGGGAGAGGAGGGGAGGAAGGTGAAATTTCCAGCTGGGGTGGGGATCTGGTCAGCGGCCCTTGTACTGAGGTGGGGCAGGGTGCAGCCTGACCTCAGGGAGAATGCAGACCCTGGCGCCCTGGAAGCTGTGCTTCTCCCTCTCTCCCTGTCACCTCCCCAGAGAGGGCTGGTGGACTCTAGGGTGGGCCGTGGTGAAGGTTGTCGCAGGGGCGCAAGACCTGTGACCAGGTCCAGGATGGTGTGTGGTGTGTGTGATGGTGGGCACTTAGGGGGCCCTCCTAAAGGGCTGCAGGCGGTGGAGGGATGGGCGCACGGGAATGACAGATGGCCACCTATGGGATCCTGGCCGCGGAGGGTGGGATGTGACTGGTGTGGATGGTGGGGATGGGGCAGGGTCCCCCCAAGCATGCTGGGAGCTGCCGACGTGCGATCCCGGGCAGGGGCTGCAGAGGGGTGTCCTGGGGCAGATGTGGAGCCTTCTCACTTGGTCTCCCGCCCGGCTGTGACGCTCCGGCCCCACCATTCCCGGGTCGGCCCCTGGGCGGCGCTCCAGGCTCGTGGGATCGCGCCGGTTTCCTGCGACTATTTGCGTGACACTTATTTACACGGAACTTATTTGCATGTTCGTCTCACCGTCCGGAAGAGTTGGGTGGTGCGCGCGTGGTTTGAGGCGTCGCTGTCCATCCCTAGGGATTGGTGGGCCCACCGTGCCACCCTCACCCTCCATATGGGATTCAGCCCGCTTTCTACCTGCGTGTATGTACCTGGGGGCCCTGCTCCCCCACACACTCACGCACTGCCAGGGCGGGGCCAGCAGGAGCGGGGACACGCAAAGGCACACAGGGGGACACGCAAGCAGCCCTGAACGGGGGCCGCCGTGCAGGCCCGAGCCCACCCGCAGGGACTCAGACCCTCGCGCACCGCAGAGCCCAGCAGCACCCCGCC